TGTAGTCAAAAGTTTTGATGGACATACGAAGGAACTCAGAAAATCTGAACGGATTACATCGAAGTCGATGATACAAATAATGGAATTCTCCAAATATTAGACAGCTTTGATTCAGTTGATGCACTCCTTTCATTTTCTTTTTAATTAAAATTAATCGAGGTAATCGTGGGTTGTCGGTTTTCAAGTAATAACAGTTTAAGCATCAAAGTAGACATCTTGCTAGCTAGGACAATTCTAAAAACGCTCATAAAATAAACTTGTTAATGTGCACACAACTCCGCAAGCGTTAGCACAGCTAAACGCTTGTCGCTCAACGCACACCGCTCATCGCTCGCCAATGTGCACGCGCACTAAGAATTGATATGGCTTTGTTAAATTTGGCTTTTAAGAATGCGCGCGTTAAACACTGAAAAAGGATATCTGCAAGTATTTACATTGTCGACCAGTAAATCAGTCGCCAAAAACACTGCGTCCGTTTCGTGTGGTTCGAGAAAATAGACCGTTTCTTTTCGCTTGCCGTGACCGCTTTCAATCAAGACGGTTTCGTTTGAACTCCCTCGTATTGGACTTGAACTTCCTGATAGAGTTGGCCAGCTGAATGGAGTTTGGAAATAAAGCCAGGTAAGGTGAAAAAATATCCTTTTCAGTTTCGATATCTTTAAATTTCATTTCAAATCTTTCATCGATTATCATTCTATTAGCAACCTGTGGATTTTCTAGTTTTAATTTCGCACAGTCGAAGCGAAACCACCAAGCATTGCGTAAATCTGATCGTTTCAGAGCGATACAACTCATCGTATGAGTAATAAGCAGTGTGTTGGAGCTTTGGTTAAACACTCGTATTTTCCAAGCAAATTCTCTAACAACTTAGATACGACACACTGCCAAGTATCTATGATTTTATCAAAATTTATTTCCAAAAATCTTATTTTACACCCAAAAGGATATTTCTCTTGAATGCGTTTTTCGTCTTTACATCCTTCATTTTCTTTTAGATGGTTCATTTTCTATTATTTGAAGATAAGCCTCTATATATTTTCCACAACTGTGATCTTGTGTGCTTTGACACCTACCATTTAAATGCGCTCATTTATCTGATAACTTCGAACCATCGTGCTTGAGGCCGCGACAGTGGGTTCCGTTTCTGGTCACATGGTCTATACAGGATGATTTTAAAAAAGCTGTTCTTGCAACTACGTCCTTAATTTGAGGTTTTGAAAGGCCCATTATTAACTAGATGGCATGCTCTATCTTGCTCACTTACTTTATCACCAGTGAATGAAAATTTGCTAGGAGAGAAAGCTTCAAAAATATTTCACTGGAGTTGGATTGAGAAAGACTCGTTGAGGACATTCCATGACAATAAATTTGGAAGTGCAGTTTATCGGAAACTCATGAAAAAGATAATCAATTGATTTTCTAGAAGTGAGAAGCATCTAGCAATCGCTACGTTACTGAAATGTATATGAGAGTTTTAGCTGTCAAGGTGTTTGTTTTATGAGAATAACGGTCATTCCAAAAGAGGTTAGAAGACAAAAACATAACATTCATCAAGGTATTAAATGAACATTGAATCGTGCACATGAAGCTGTGCACTGGCCATGAGAAACAATACGAAAATATGATTGAAGCTTGTGAGTTATGACAAATTTCAAGACATTCGATTTAAAAAGAGACCATCATGTTTTAATCTTCACCAATTATATCCATTCGAAGATAATGTGTGTGCAATAATTCTTATAGTCAAAGTTGGCTGAGGGTCTCTATTTCTATAATAAACGTTCATAGAAAAAAAAGTTAAATAGACAAAAAAATTGCAAAAAGTGTGTTCTTTTTTAGGTAGTTTATTTTCCTCTAGCCTTTCATTTAAATCATTTCTCATCTAAATTGAGAAGTTTGTTTCTAAGATTTTCGAATTTTGGAATCTATAAATAGTCTCAAATTATGAAATACAATAGGAATTGAAAAAGAATTTCCATAATTTGAATTACAAATATGGTGAGCAAATCCTCTAAAATCTTCAGTGAGCTGACAGTGATCTCTAACGATTTTATCAGTTTCCTCTCTCCAATGTGACGAGTTTCAGTGGCATCTCGTAAGCTAACTTCCACATTCATTGGTACCTACCACGTATTTTAGTCTATGTTAGACACATTGCAATACATTTTGCAATTCCTCTGCGAACCAAGACATTCAATCTAAACTTCTTTTACTCTTATACTGTGTGCCCCTAACCTCTTCTAACCATGCTTCATCGGTGAAAAATGTTAATGCGGAAGATATGCATTATCGTACAGATTGTCTATGAAACATTGGCAATAGAGAGTGCTCATGGGGAAATCTCGGGGTTCCAACTGTTGCACTGCAATCATCATCCAGGCATGACGGGCTAGATCTTTTATTAAATTAGTATGACATGTCCCCAAGGATAGTCTGACTTGCTGGGAGAGATGACGAAATTCTTGATTTTCCATCACGTACCTAACTCGTTCGATGCTTTCTGCGATACGAGCTGATGATGGATGACCACTGCCAGTTTAACGTCTCGCGCTTCCCGTTTCCCGGAACATATCTGCAGAGAAATTTTTATGGTCCGCAACTTTATGGGGGAATTCTCCAGATAGTCATCACGAGTGGATTGAATTGACCACACCTCATTTATTTTTGAGCCATCACGCAAATAGGCTTCCACCATAAATTGTGTTTGTTCGAGGGTGAAAAACATTGCTGGGCGCACGTGAAAAATCCAGGATCGGAAGGCGGAAACATGCACAAGTGAGCAAAAATAGTTTTTTAGAATATCCATAATCTCAAATCATTACAATTATTATTGTGGATATCAATCGAGGTTCCGCTTGATTGGGCATAAAATAAACTTTCATGAAACACTCAAAAATATTATCCGTCGGCGCAATAAATTAAACCTATAAACCAAGCGAAAATAAATCATAACCCTTTTACCAACTATTCTATTTAGTTGCGCTTCGTTGGGAGCTATAAAACCCCGCCGAACATTCATCATGTATTTAACGAATAATTACAGTTAACAATTGAGTAAATCCTTTAGAGACCTAGAGATGTTTACGTCCCTTTGTTTGCTGCGTAGTCAAACGGCAGTAAAATAGTTGATTGTGGTCCATAGCAAAAACAAAGGTTTACTATAGTACTATGGCATTCTGGACCTTTTCCTAAAACAACCCTTTTCCATAGCCAACACTAAATCCTTGGATTAAGTTAGCAGGCAGTAAAATTTTGGGATCTTATTAGTGTTTAGGTGTAGGGCAATTTTAGATGCATAAATGCCATATTTTGTGCAATTTATGCTCTCAAGCTAAGCGATTTTACAAAATATACTGCTACATTTATAATTTAATAAGCCTTCAATAGAAATGCTTGTAGTTTGCCTTTTAAATTCAGGAGGAATTTGCATATTAGGTACCTACTGATTAATGTTTAGCAGTCTCTTGAATTTTTCAATTAGGAAATAATGATCCCGGAGATAACTGTAGCGATTTTGAAAATAATTTTTGTTCTCCTTTTTGTAATAATTGAAGGCACAAAAAAATCCAATCAGTAATCTGACCCTCATTAACTTCTGTAATGAACTTAATATTTTCGCTATTAAAAAGGGACCGCTACTTAGACTCAATATCATGTTTAATTTTTGAACTAATATTCTTTATTCGTAAAAACGATTTCTATGTATTTGAACCCTCAAACTACTTTTCTTCCTTTAAAGCTCAATTAAAATGAAATTCCCATACCGCTCTATGGTCTACCAAAATTTAACGAGATCCATCTGAATAACATGTTTTTACATTAAAAGATAATTTTCGTAATAATTTGCAAATGAAGTCGCAGTGCTTTGAGTTTGGAAAGTTTGTGCCCTTATGAATTACATACACCTGCTTTGCGTTAGGAAACTTCGGTATAAATTTAAATATTTATGTCTCTTTGAAAACCAGTTTCGATGCCCTAATTTGTGAATATCTCTGGTTAACCACTTGGAAGAAGTTTCCAAGTCTTTAACATATTATTTATCATATAAGGAGGGTGAACATAAATTTTTGCAGTTGGTTCTTACCTACATATTTTTTTTTTTTTGCTTAAACACCAAAAATAAACTTTTGTTAAATGTAGATGGCTAACCATGGAGAACCCCCAAGAGCTTTTTACATTTTAAGATAACATACAATTTATTAAAGGCAAACAAAACGAACGGCATGCTCAGTAACATGATCCGCTAAATCCGTCATCATCAATTATCCCACGCGTTTGCTTGTCTCGTCCTCTTACTGTAGAATGAGCTGCCTCTCATTTTTGATAAATTCTGGGGTGAATCTAATAATTCCTAGTGATTATCTGGCCCCAGATTTTCAGAATTCAACTCCTAGCCGAAATTTTTTATTTGTATATATAAGTGATGAGATCACAAAAAATTAAATATGCAAAACGAAATTTACCTACGTTTTATTACTGTTTGAATTACAGTCACCATCGCCCTACTACAGTTGATTTGATTTTGGATTCGTTTATGACACTGCAGTAAAAATTTCAATTCACACGTTCACTCCCATGAGTATTAAGAGGTACGCTTTAGAATAGAATAAGAGATCGTTTCCTTTATTGGATGGACGCTACTTGAGATTTTTCCGTTTTGAATTAAATTGCAATGTAATTTTCTGAATAAAAACCAGTCAATTTTGGTTTTTGTGAAAAAACTTCAAAAACAATTCCTATACGTGCGGATTGAAAGCAACTGGAAATTTCCTTCCATATTTTACTACGAAATAAACGAATTTAAGCACCACACTGGCTGAAATTACCGACGTGCGAAAATCAAGACAAAATTGCAAAATAAGCTTCATTAAGCCAGTAGGGGCTCATTTGGAAATTTCTTTGGAGTGTATGTAATTATAACCGGAGGGGTGGTCGATGTTTAGCATTAACGTTTGAGCTATTAACAAAGGCAAATGGGATAAAGCTATATAAGTCCTTACCTTGAGCTGGAGAAAATATGTTCAAATACAAACAGTCTTCGCTTTGATTCTTTAGTAAAGGCAGTAGCCTTTTGAGGTACTCCAAGCGGCCTTTTGGCATGCGCTCCAAGGCCGCTGTCTCATTAGAAATATTTGGCAGTCTTTGAGGGCATACCGGACCCATTTTATCTGAAACGCGCACTCCATCCCACGGGGATGGTGTTCTGGTTGGGCTGAATCGATTCGACTGGACGGGTGGTGTCGCGTACGGCACGCCAAGAAAGACCTGAAATAAATAATTCAATTTAAAGGTTCAGATAATTCTCGCAAACAGCGCAGGTTACAACAATTAAGTGTGTGATTTAAAAACGGCGATAATGAGAGGTTTTTCATGAAATGATGATGCGAAAAGTAGTTCAGGCGCTTATATAGAAATGTTTCATCAAATTGTAATTTAATTGAAATATGTGTCAATTTTTCGTATTTGGCAAAATAATAGATATAACAATCCAGGCTTGCAAACATCGCAACCTCATAATGCCTGCTTCAGCCTGGCCCAAAAGAATGCGCGTTTTCATGTGTTCGGCGATTGCTGATTTTTTCCGTTTGCTTTCACTAGAAGCTTATTTTTCGCTCTATGATTCTAGTATTATGGCGGTTTTACATCAAACCGACTAGTTGAGTTGCTGTTTTGTTGCTGTTTTATAAAACAAAACTCAACTGTTTTTAACGATAAAACTGTTCACACTAAACAAACAAAAATTAGTTGCCTTCGAGTTTTTATTTTCTGTCGTTTCACATCAGAGAAACGGTTGCAGTTTTGTTTAGTTCAATTCAAAAAGTAGATGGGTGTTCACTATTTTATAATATTTATAACGTGTGAACAGTTTTATCAGTAAAAACAGTTGAGTTTTTATTTTTTAAATCAGCAACAAAACAGCAACTCAACTAGTCGGTTTGATGTAAAACCGCCATTAGAGAATAAAAATTCCTACTTTTTAGGCAACATTTCAACGCCAAAACAACCGCCGAATATGACGTCATTCGCTCCAAGCAATAATGTTTATTTCTAACCATATATGAAATGTTGTCATTACTGATCTTCAAAAATTTGAAAATTTCACATTTCTGTCTTGTCATTTTCCTGGTCCATTACCTGTCCCAGTTGAGTCCTCATTTCCCGTCCACGGACGGAAAATGGAGCAGGGAAATATTTCCCGTCCTCATTCCCCGTCCTCATTTCCCGACCTCATTTATTTGATTGTCACGAATCTATTTTTTTTTTCAAGAAATTATGGTTAAAAATAAAATAGTATACAAACTTCGACGGGAAACATCATTGCTGTCTCGAGGTTCAGTTTTCTCTCGATAAACTATATAACCTCTCGATTAGCAATGAAGCATTTCCCGTCTCGGATTGTAATATACTATTATTGCAAATTAATAAATATTGTTACGTTGTCAGTTTGTCGTTGTCATTGTTTGACTTCCATGATTGCTTTTAAATACCTGGGTCCTTCCTTGTTATTATAATGTTCTTATGTTGTATTTTTTGCACGACAATTATAAAATTGATGATGTAGTTTTTGAATTGTTAGTAGTACTTTCAGTTGTACTACAATACTTTTCGGAGTGATCAGAAAGCATCTATCCGCTGACATGATTTTAGTTTTAAAAAATCATGACAGACAGTTTAGCAACGTCACATTGTCTAGTGTTTGCTGTGCTGCTGGTAAATATTAAAAGTTCTAATTTAATAGTTTGTTTTTTAGTTTTGTGTTCTAGAACCGTGTTTCATTAGTGGGAATATAAAAGTACCCATAAACAACAAACCTGAAGTATAATAAAGCCAAATTGAAGGGAATGAAGTTTTGTCGGTTACAACAACCGAAAAGCATTGAAAATGAAGAGAATGTTAACTCAACTTAACTCAAAATTCTTTATTTACATAATTACATACACAGTACAATTTCAGGTAGGGTGGTTAGTCCCCCCTCAAACTAAAAACATACAACATTAACTTAATCTAGGACATTGACTTAAAACTAAAACTCCGGTGTGGCGCAGCACACCGTGCCCCAGACACGCCTAGCGCGCTGTGAGGGCATGTTTCAGCACGGTAGGATGTTGTGACCAACAAGCCGCTCTCCTATCCTCGCTTGAAACTTTAACGCAGCGTTACCTGGTCTCCCTTAGACGCTGTTTTTGACCCTAGGGTCACTAACAAATACCATGGTATGGTAAGCATTGGACCATTACAATGGACTACCAGATGTTGTTGGTAGATGCTGGAGTATGGAGTGCAGAGCGAGCAGCGCCCGTCGTGTGGGGAAAAAAGAGTTAAAAACCCCACTTTTCATTAACTTAATAATTTATATAAACAAAAAACAAAAAGGTTGTGCCCTTATGGGCTGTTTGGTACAGGACGCGCTCTCAACAGCAAAAGCTAAGCTCTAGGGGTAGGTGTTTGAAGGGTTGTCAGAGAATGAGGATTGGGAGGATTGGGTGCAAGAATTTACCGGGATTGGGATGAGCATTTATCAGCTAAATTGGGCAATTTTTGCCTATAATTGTTGGTCGAATTGGGGGTGTTTTGATGGTAATTAGACAAGTAGGTTTCCTCATAGTCAGCGAAAGAGGAGTTTGCTACACACTAGTTCGCTGGCCAGTTGGAATTTTCCGAAGAACTGAGAATTGAAATTAGACCTTATGACTGGATTGCCAGAGTCTCCTGCTTAGACTACGGCTATTGGCGCTGGCGCCAAATCTCTCTTGTCTAATTTTGTCTCGGCGATTGGATTTTAGCTGTGCATGGATGGGTTGTTTTATTTAATTTGGGTGTGTGATTTGCAGGTTTGGGATGGGTAAGGTTTCATGGAGGTTCAAAATAGACGGGTAAATTCTTGTAAGGCGGCCCGTGGACTATGGGGTTGTCTGGATCAAATCTTGTTGTAGTTAGGCTGCGTGTGAGAGGGGATCCTTGAATTTGGTGGCGGTAAAACTTGTCGCTGATTTGGTCCAGGTAGTCAGACATATAAGGAATGGATGCTTCCGCATGCATGTCCCTTATTCTGGCGTACCTGGACTCCGACAGGTCTCCCCTCAGAATGCGGTTTTGGAACCGCTGGAGCCGGTTCCTTTGTGTGGTTGAGATCATGTTCCAGACAGGGGCCCCATAGGTTAACATTGGTCTCAAGACCTGTTTGTAAATCAACAACTTATTACCTGGCGAAAGAGCGGAGTTGGGACCGATGAGGGAGTAAAGTTTTTGCTGCGCACTGAAGGTGCGAGCTAGAGCGTGGGAAACGTGGTGGTGGAATTTCATTCTCTGATCGAAGATGATGCCGAGGTATCTTGCTTTCGGGGATAGGGTCACTGGGATGTTATTTACGATAAGTGGGTTGGGCATGACGCTATTGGTATGTTTCTTGTGGAAACATATCATTTCCGTTTTTTGCCCATTAACGCCAAGCTTCCACTTATCGTAATATGGTTGAAGGATAGAGAGGTGATGGGCGAGTTGAAATTTTGTTGCTTGCGTGTAAAAGGATTGAGCGTAAACAGCGGTTTCATCTGCGTACAGCGCCAGATTTGTATTCTGGAATTTTGGAATGTCCGCAGTGTACAGAGAGTACAGCAGCGGACTGAGTGCCGACCCCTGCGGCACTCCGGCCTCAATTGTTTTGGAATTTGAGAGGGCGTCTCCTTGTTTGACGCAGAAAGTGCGGCCGCTGATGAATGACTGTATCAGGGAGATAATATGCAATGGGAAATCGAATTGTGCGAATAATTTGTAGATAAGGCCTGCATGCCAGACCCTATCGAAGGCGCGCTCCATATCCAGGAGCAGAAGTGTCGTGTTCATGCGCCTGTTGAACGCTTGGAAGACATCGCAGCAGATTTTGGCTGCAAGAAGTGTGGTGTTGTAACGGGGGCGGAATCCGAACTGGTCGTTTGGGAGGATGGAGGAGTTTTCGACGATCCTGTTGACCCTGGCCAGGATTAACTTTTCCCCGAGCTTGGCAAAGGAGTTTAGAAGGGAGATTGGGCGGTAAGAGGATGGGAGTGTATGGTTTTTTCCAGGTTTGGGGATCATAACCACTACAGCCTTTTTCCATTGAAAAGGAAAATGCTGTAGTTTGAGGATAGCGTTTGCTATTTGTACCAGTTGGACAATAACTTTACGCGGGAGATTTTTAAGGGCTCGATATGGGATGCCATCTGGTCCGGGGGGCTTCTCGCTTGGGAGCCGGCGGATAACTCTTGTCATCTCGCCGGGCGTGACAATGAGTTCAGCGAGCAAGTGCTGGGGGATGGGGTATTTCCGAATAGCAAAGGCTGCCGCTGCACGCTGGATTTCATCCTATTCAGGGTCCTTATTCGTGAAACAGGAGAGGAACGTTCCCAGGAGAACGAGTGTTCCGTCTTTCTCAATGATATGTAACTCATAATATAAGTAACAAAGATGGAACACTCGTTCTCCTGGGAACGCTGCTTCCCTGTTTCAAGAATAAGGACCCTGGGGAGTTGGGTGGGAGTCCGGAATGAATACTCTCCATGAATGAAGCCAGAGCTTCCGCCTTGTCTGGGGCAGTGACGCAATCCCTGCCATTACTTGTAATGGCAGGGGTACGCACAGGCTGCCGCCTCATTTTGGACTGAAGACGCCACAGAGAGTTGTCTTGAGGATGGAGGTTTTGGAGGGTTTGTGTCCATCTACGGTTCCGGAGCTTGCTGATGCCATTTTTAATGGCACCCTCGAGTTCCCGAAGTCGTTGGCGATCCTCGTCCCTTCGGAGGCGTTGCCACCTCCTCCGGGTGCGATTCTTCAGTGAAATAAGATCTATGAGGTCTCGAGAGAGCTCGTCACGGCCTTGATGGACAGTTACCCGGTTGGCAAGGGAAGTTTGGGTCTGCTGGACATTCCTGGTCAAGGTTGAAACCTCTTGCTCAAGAGCGTTAATGGTGTCAATTTGACCAGGAATTTGGGTAATGGTGTTGAGTGTCTGCCGAAACAGGGGCCTGTTGACGTTTTTATAACTCAGGCGAACTTGTAGGCGGGGAGGATCAAGTTCGCCCCAGGTGAAGAAGACGGGTAAGTGATCTGAACTCAGGGCATTGATCGTGACAAGATCGGAGTCCTTTGCTGATGGCAATGTCAATGTATGTAGGTGTCATGTTATTGCTAGGATAATGGGTGGGCGATTCAGTACTGAGGAGTATCAACTCCGGTCGGTCATTGACGAAATCATTTAGGATCATACCATTGGTATTTCCTCTATGATT